GATAAGAGCCATAAATGTTTTTCTTTTACCTTTTCAAGTTTTAAACTGCCTCGTGCAAATTGGGGGTCGTTTCAAAAATGTGTAACCTTCAGAGAGCTGTTCTGCAACTAATACTTTGAATACAACAGATTTTAAGAAGTTGCGATGCTATTTTTTATGCCTGATCTAATAATGTTACATGATTTAAGGACAAACTTCTAGAGTTAAATCACAATAGCATCAAAAATTGGTTTACTATGTATGAGTCCTCGATTTGAGTAGATTCGATTTGAATAGATTTTTCTGGAACAAAACACCTACTCAAATCGAGGACCCCCAGTATTAAATTCTAGAGTGTAAATATAAGGACTGTGACCAGAAAAGGACCTTAGGTACCCCGAGAAACTGATTTTAATTTCAAATCCCTTCTGAATATTGGATATTACCACTAAACAGGGGCGTAGCCAGGGGGGGCCATAGGGGGCCCGGGCCCCCCCTACGAAAATCTGATAATTGTTTTATTAAGTATTTATAGAGAAGAACCAGTTAATGTAGAGGAAGTGATGAAAGAAATGTCAAAATCAGCACGGAAAATTAAATTTAATGTATGAATAATGAATTAAATATTTAAACTTATGAAGAATGAATATAGATTTAAGGATACAAAATGACGGTTTTTTAATTTTCGAAAATGGGCCCCCCCTTAAAATTTTTCTGACTACGCCCCTGCCACTAAACAAACCCCAAGTAAGTTAATTAAATATCTCATGCTTACAATATCAAACCAAAGGCAAATATATGCTTATTTGTAGAAGGGGGTAGAAGGTTTACAGAACTTTGAAATAAATATAAATAAACGATGGGATAAGCATACATTTCTCTTGATATTAAGAATCCTAATTACAATTTTTTTTTAATTTTTTGATGGTAAGCAATACGCGTGGATGTTTAATGCTAAAGCTGAAAAACAAAACAACGAATTTTTTTCGCAATTGTATTTTTTTTATTTTTAATGAATTTGTTTGGTTTTTTTGTTCCTTACACTTGTTGTTGCTTCTCTAGGCCCTAAAACCACAGCCCATGTATTTTTTTTTTGTTGCTCTGTTTATTTTTTGTGATAAGAAAGCAAGAAATTCTCGTATTCAATTACATTTCTTCAATCTACAGCTCTTTGCTGTGTAAAGTAGATACTTAGAGAAAGTAGCAACAGTGAAGAAATAAAAAGTTCACCCACAATTAGCTTTCGCTCCTGTAATGTTGTTTTTATTTTCTACAGAAATAATACAGAACAGAAAAAAAGAATGTTTTATTCTTTTTCATCTTCGTTCCGTGAAAAAAAAAGAGTCAGTCGCCTGGAAAAAAAGAATTTTCATCGCTAGATGCCACAAAATTTAATGAATAAACTTTTTTTTTTCTTTTCTTATGTCGAGATTATGTTCAAGAAAATGTTTTTCATTTTATTTTATGTTTTTTTTTACTTCTCCTTTCTTTATTTTTCTTTTATTATTTACAAGAGAGTCTACAGAAGATTTTTAAGGTATGAAGGTAATATATAAAAAATGTGTGTACATAAGTAGGTAAGTAAGAACTAACAATTTCTTTTATAATCATTTACTAAAATTTATCCCATACTATTTGCTTTCGCTTTCATTTACCCCCTTTCCATTATCTAACTACAGTTTCATTTCATCAACGAACGAGCAAAGGGGCCGTTCATTTATGACGTCAGGGGGGGGGGGGGCAGCAAGAAAAGAACAATAGAAATTCCTGGAAATCCATTGTTTTTATTTGAAAAATGACCGTTAATTTCAGACGTCATAAGTGAACGACCCCAAAGTGGATAAACAACTTGAGATGCTTACCTAAAATTTACTTTTTCTTTTTATATGACTTTGAGAAAGGAAAAGAATTTATTAAAAACTTTTACGCGTCTAACTATTTTGAAAAGAATTTTATTTTTACAATGTGGAGCATTTCCTTTTTCATTATAGGAATTCGTATCGTCTTGGAATGAATATTTCTTTTAATTTTAATCTTTAATGTATATATACATATCTAGTGAAGTTTCCACTATTTATTTTATGCTGTTTTTCTTTTATTTTTATTTCAATGAATGCGAAGTTCCTTAATTTTAATAATTTAATTTTCTTTATATTCACAACGTTTTCACGTGTGAATCTATTGGTTATGTTCAGATTGAAAAATCAGTTTTTCGCATTTTGTGAGAAAACAAAGCAAAATTGGTTATAAAAGGTTATGGAAGAAAAGTTTGTGCCTGAAATTTTACATCATTTTCAAAAAACAGATTTCAAATTGGTTGCGGCATTGCTGAGAAAATCGCAAAATACGCTTTCTGTAAGCAAGCAAACAAGCATGCAAGTTAATCAGCAAGAAATCTCAATAACGAGACATCGTAGAGACTTCTAGTTTTTACACTTGATCCGTGCTGCTCTATAGAAGAGCTGTATTGTTTTGGGGCAAGGTAGGAACAGCCGTTGCTTCAGAAATAGCAAAAAAGTTTCCTTTCTTACGAATTTTTAAAACAAAAGTTGACTGTGATTTTTATAAAATTTAACTTTGGATGAAAAACTTTTAAAGAATGTTTGGTATATTCGTAAACTTATGCTGAGCAAAGTTCAGCTGACTCGATAGCTTTATATTTTCAAACTTATGCTGAGCGAAGCTCAGTTGACTTATCAAGCTTCATACCTTCATACTTATGATGGGCAAATCTTGGTCTATCCATAAGACTTTTGATAGTATGGTGTGAATATAATCCGCATTGGGTTTCTACCCGATACACTAGTTTTGTTTGTTTCTGTTTACTTTCACATCCTTTTCATGTCTCTAAGACTGGGAAAAAAAGTATCACTAGAATATGAAACCGTCTTCATCCACTTTTGCTCTCTTAATATGTTACGCAAAAATTACATTTATATAATAATGATATTCACAGAAAATATTCATGCATGAAATAGTGAAAGATAATGATGTTATCAGTGATGTGTCTTCTTATCTTTACTTCCTAACGTGTTCTCTGTGTTTATGCATTTAATAAAATTTCTCTTGTATATTTTCATCGTTTTTCTTCCTTAAACGTAAACTCACAAATTTCATTAATTTTTTTTCTTTTTTCAAAAAACACATTTTATCCTGGGACATGGAACGTTGTGATCTAAAATTTAAAAATCTTTTTCAATGAATTCTATAGACATAGACTTAATTCACAGAGTGTCTAATCTTGAGTAAATTTTAAAGAATCTGTCGAGACCAAGACATCAAGAAACCTTACCAATATCATAACAACATGATGCTAGGCATGGCTAATTAATTTGCTATAGTTGAACGAGTTTTAATCATGCTTCTCATGCATATCAAGAATACAATTTGATTTTCAAATTTTAGATCAGGAGCTTCCATATCCTCAAACATTCAATTTAAAATTATCTCATATACATATGTACTTAGAAGAAGATTGTCAGTTTATAACAAAAATTTATCTATTTTTATTTCATCATTTTGAATGACTTTTGGATGTAAAATATTATTAATGAACAATGAAAATGAATTACAGTCATTTCAGTTAACAATTTCTTAAAATTCTCGTTAAAATATTTTATTTTCTTTAAAATAAGGACGCAATGACATTTTGGATTTTCTTGATAACATTTTAATAAGAGCTGATAATCGACATATTCATGTTATGTGCAATATATTTTCAAGTATGCTGATATATTCTAAAAATTTCATTCATAATAAAAATAAGCATCAGCTTTGGTCTATTCATCATTTATAGATTGCAATTCAAAAAAAAAAATCTCATCACAACTTTCATTAAAACTTGATCAAAAGAATTTATTCTAGCTATGTTGAAGAATTTACAAGTTAGAGTGGTTTTCATTTGCCATGTAAATTTATTAATCAAAACCAGAAATCTCTACAGAATTGGTAGGAGCTTTAAATGAATATTTATAATTAATTTTACATTCATTAAAATTGAAAATTCATTCAATTTATATTAAATAGCAAATTCATTTCCAATTAGGAAGTTTGGGATACAAAAATCATTTATATTTAACTAATGATGGTTTTATTGAAAGCATATAGACTATTAATTAAAATCAATTACCTTTAATTTTCGTTAATTCAAATACCTAAATAAATTAGCTCGTAAAAACATTAAACTTACATTAAATATATTAAAAGCACATGAAAAATAAATTATGTGAAAAAAATACATTATGGTAATAATTAAAGGTACTGATGATGGCTACTTTCATTTAACATCGCTTTAATAGCCATTGCTGAATATTCATTTTTTTGTATGAATAACAGACAGTTTTGGGGTCATTCATAAGAGATGTTCATCAAAAAATGAGGTTCAGTACTGTCTCTCTCTTCTACGTTATACAAACTTGGGACATCAATTGTGAATGACCGTTTGACATAACATCCATGATGTCAAACATCAATAATTTTGGAAAAATATGTCTTCTTTCGGAAATTTGTCAGAAAATGTGATGAGCATTTTTTTTTTTAAGAAATGCTCGTATGCCTCAGAATTTTCCATCCGAAAAATTTCTTTGATATAAAAAATATGTCAGAAAAAAGTTCAAGTACCAAAAAAAATATTTCATATAAATAAGATAAATCTCTTTATTTTTTCAATAAAAAAGCGTCTTTGTAACGGGAATATGCGTTGCCAAAAAAATATTCATTTTCATTTTAATTTTGATCTCTCACTCTCCCTTTTGCTCATCTTAATATTTTATTTCATCGTCTAACGAAAACAAGACTATGAAGAAATGTTCTTAGAGCCGTTCACTTATGACGTCCAACATTAAGGGGGGTCTAGGATTTTGTGACAGCTCAAATAAAGGAAATTTTTTTCTACAGAAATTTTGTGACAGAAAGGGGGGGGGGGAGGGTCTAGAAAACATGTTTTTTATGGACGTCATAAGTGAACGGCCTCTTATTCCATTTAAACATTTTATGAAAATATTTTTTAATAAAATGTACTGAAAATAATAAAAAAAATGCTTTCATATTTATCATAGATAGTATGAACTAGTATGAAGCGCAAATATGCAGAGAAAAGAGAAGAGATGATGTTGATGATGACGGCGTAGACAGGCATGAGAATTTTATTTCATAGAAAAATTAAAAATATTCTGTTGCTTTTGATGCAATATATTATATGATGCTAATGCCACATAAGCTCTTTCACTCTCCTTTTTTTTGCCTATGATGATAAATATTTGAAATTCTAAATCAACTCGACTGTTGTTTAAAGATGCCGCAATAAGCAAAAAAAGAGGTTAAAATTTTGCTAACAGTGGACACGCTAACATCAGCACGGGTATTGTTTAAACTTTTTTTTAAGACAGAAGAAGGAACTTAAAGCTGTTGCACAAGTATCTTTTTGTCTTTACTCTAAATTATTTTTATGCCAACAAGCTGACAATGCTGACACATATCAAGTTCATTTCTGGATTTGCTTGCATGTCGTATCAAATGAAAAACACTGGGAGGTCCTCAGATTGAATAATTATTTTGTTTCTGAAAATCTTAAACAATTCTTGAGTGCCTTGAAGCCCCGTGATTTTAGCACCTACTTGTAATTTCTAAGAACAGAGATTTGACCTTAAGATCTCAAAAGATTAAAAAATCTAAGCTCAAACTCGCAGTTTTAGAATTGAGAACCCCCAAGCACTGAAAAAAAAATGTTTAAGAGACGAGTCAGGAAAACAAAGACAAAAAAAATAATTTGGTTTCTTCACAATCATTTGCTTCTGCTGTTGCTGCCATTTCCTTTCTGTTCCTCTCTTTTTTTGTTGATTTTCGCATATCAAATACAAACATTTTAGAGCGAAAGAAAAATTTCAAATTTATGTCTTGTTGAGTGGATTTCTGCTTGTCAAATTAGAAGATATAAAATTTTGTATTCATTGTGCATACTTGTTATCAGATCCTGTAGATTAACGTAAACTGCTGCTTTAAAATATAAAATTCCTTTCTTTAATGTACGATGAGAATCTTATGCAATAAACTAAACGATGAAATTTTATTATAAGAAATTATTTTATCTATCCATATTCATCATACATCTTACATCTAGTATGCAATTTGAAATGATTATGAATGAGCGAAGATTCATTAGATTTATAATAAATTACATTTACTTTTCTAAAGTATGCATGTACTTCTTATGGGAAAAAAATTTAGAAAGATGAAGAGCGAAATGAAATATGAATTGAGAAATTCCATGCTTTTTATCGTATCTTATCACACTTCTTGCTTATGATGTCATGTGTATAGCAATTCCTATGCTTCTACATCTTATAAACTATCTTCTTCATTTTTTCCCTGCTTTTTCATAGAACATGATACTTATTGCTTTTTTGTTCAGAGTAAATTTTCCAAAGCAATCTAGAAGGAAAAGCTTTAGCACATTTTTATGGAAGTAGTGTTCATATCCATTGACTTTGACTTATCCATCTGATTACTACATGTACAAATTTTTTTAGATTTCACTAATAAGAGGATTTATTTTAAATGCACAACTAAAGAATCTTATGATATGTTTTATGAATGTCACTTCCTACACAATTTTTTACTAATTCGTCGTTGTAATCATCCAATTGTGCAAACTTTTGCAACTTATTATCAGGGATATTTGTCATGCTTGCCATGAGTATAATGAGACTTCTTTTTTACTGTCAGTTTGACTAGCATCAATTGTGGCAGCAGCAACGCAAAAGAAGATTATGAATAGCGGAAAAACATATAGATTCAAGTTAGTTAAAGTTTGTTCTCTTCCTTTCTGCTTTTATCTTGTTCATTCAATTCTATGTGATTTACTGATGAAACCATGAAAGCCAATTACTCAAAGGAGGCAAAAGTGAGCGAGAGAGAATTTATATCTAATATATCTTATTATGCCTTTTTGATTGATGCCTCTGTGTGCCGTATAAAAGTATGTAGAACTTACAACTCATTTTCTTTCCTTTCCAACTTGCTTCTATTTTTTCCCTTATTACATTTTTCTGAAGATTTAGAAATAAAGAAAGTTTGACTGCGTTGAACTGATGAGAAAATGTGGAGAGTGCGAGAGACGGATAAACTAAATCAGTAGAACGTGAGGACAGAGCAAACAATTTATTGTAACTGCCTTTCACACATATCTGTAAATTGAGAAAAAAGAAAGGAAGAAGAAAAAGGACGTACAATCAATTGGAGCATTTAGAATTATAGATTATAGGCTATATTCGGATATTTTATTTTGTTAATGCGTGAATTGAATAAGAAGGATGAAATTTGGGAAGGTTTTTTTTCATAAATTTTAGCTTTAGTAGCACAGTTACCTTTTTGATAGAAGATACGATCCTAAACTAATACAAAGAACATAGTGAAAGGTACATCTAAATTCAGAGGATGTGTTTCTTCGTGATATTGCAGCGGTATTGTCACCTAAATGTGAGAAACATAAAAATATCGTATATTTAATAGATTTGTCTCATAAAGTCTAGTCATAGTCGTATATAGATATTAATAAGGTAAGCCATTAATAAAGCATAATAAACATGCTACAAACCATACTTAAAGGTCACAAAATGATACTCATATGCTTTGGTTATATGGATTATGGGTTTTGGAATTGATCAAGATAACTATTGTATTATTTTTACAAAATTGTGTTATGTAACACAAGCAGCTCTATATAGAATTGTAGAGAGATGGCACATAATAAATGATAAAATACAATACACACATGGCTACCCATATCCAAACATAAGTTATATATTCAAGTATGTATTTTAAATACATGTTCATGTATTGGGAAGGACACAAAAAGGGACATAAGCATATTTCACGTTTTGCCAACACAATTTTAGAATGACACTTCAGAGAGTCATCGAATGGGAAGCAATTTGTGCTTGCTTCACGCTCACTTATCATGAAATGTGAGAATTTAGAGACTTTTGACTACAATGAAGACAGTTGAAAATCGTTAGGCATGAAACGAACAGGCACATAGCTCAAGTATGAGGAAAGAAGTGTATCGTATATCTTCCATTATTTCAAATACTTGATAAACTTTTCAATTGCTTCTAAGTACTCAATAAATTAATTAAGTCTCATTTCACTAAAAATCTCAACCAATTTATATTTTTTTAGACGAAAAGTTTCCTTCAATTAAGAGGATGATGCCATAGAAACAGTAAATTTGTAGCCTATTTTGAGTAACAAGAGGAAAACATATCATCAAATAATAGTCAGTATCTCAGGTGAATTCTTCCTTGCACAATAAAGTGCCATAAATTTTTACCCCAATAAAAAAAGCTAGAAAGGTATGTAGGCAGGATAAGAAGATTGTATAGATGATGCTGATAGTCATCAGAAGAGTTTTAAGGTACGTAAAAGGTATTTTTGGTGCTGTTATCACCATCTTGCCAAAAAATAATTTTTCTCTCCTCTTTTGCTCTTTGTAGATGTACATTTTTTTCATGACATTAAAGGCCATACATATTCTAGATTTTTGTATACGTACATGATTCTTTCTCTTACCCATTTTCTCTTTCGTTCACTTTTAGTGCCATTTTAACATTAAAAATGAGAACAAGCGACACAATTTTCACCCGTAATGTCATCATTAATGTATGAAACGGAAAATTAAGCCTTTTTCAGCAAATTCAAAAAATGGAAGAGTCGAGTGAAATAGGACACTATCGAATTGCAGTGTCAACGCATTTTTGGGAATTGACATTTCACTTCAGTGATACAATTTTTAATTAAAATTTGATGTATATCCTTACTATAGTTGATAATATTTTTTGAGATACATGTTGCTGACATGGGGACAATTGAAAGATAAGAAGGTTATTTTATTAGTTAAATGTGTCAAAAAAAAAAGCATAAAGAAGAAGAGCAAAGGGTATCATGTACATTCTGGTTAACAAAAGGCTTCCATCCTCCTTTCATTCCTTCATTTTATTTCTCTCTCAGAGCTTTGTAAATGAAATATATGTATGTGCTTGCCATTAGGTCGCTTAGTTTAACTTAAAATTATCCATATGTATAGCTGTATATAGCAATGAAAGGAGGTGTTATGGAGCGCTTTCTGGATGTCATAAAATACTGAACGCGAAATTGCTTGCTTGTTAGCTGACTCTTTTAGCTTTTTAAAAGTTGACTGCTCTGTATATACTGCAAACATAAAAAAAGGACATGGAGATGTGATACTGAATAGTGCTCTCAAAACTAATGTAGAGAATCACATGCACACAAAGTGGAAATGTTGTTAAGCTTTTTATATTCAATTCTTTCCGATGGTCACATAAACGTTTCTTCACTGTTACCATTTTCCACCTCTCAATGGCTGATGTCTTTTTTATAATGAGCACACGTAGTTTTTTGGGGTACAAGAATATATTATTAGAAAGAGCATCTATAGCCATCGCATTTACGGGTGTGATGCCATGGGTGAATGAATATATGCATGCGATAGACTCACACTTTATGTGTATCATTTTCATTTTCAGGTAAATTTTCATTTAATATAAATGGAAATTATGGGTGCCATCGACGTCTCACGTACACTAGATACATAAATATAGTCATGCTTAAGTTATGCTTTCGCAACTAGCTACATACATATATTCATATAGATATATATTTTATCCTTAATGTACCAACCTTTAGACACGAAAACATAAATGCTTGCTGGCTCAGTATTGGGCGCACTACAAGTATAATTTCCACTATCAGCTATTTGCGGCTCACGTACAATCAAACGACTTTGCGTTCGCGGCTGTCCCGGTGTTGTTTCTATTGATATATCACGCCTCGAGTCATCGTAATTTATCATGTGATTATTTCTTTGCCAATATACGTATTGCGGTGGTATTGGACTCTGATCATAAATAAAAAATATATATTGTATTATGAATGAGATGAGATAATAATGCAAATGCATCAAAATATTATTCAGTATCGATATTCGTATTCCATTATCGTGGTAGGAGAAGATATATGTGTTCGAGCTTTCACATTTTTTGACATTTTCGACAGCAGCTCTCCTACCATGAACATGAGTGTGAGGAAAATTGAATTATCAGCAAATCAATAAATTCAAATTACCTTTTCAATTATACAGACTAAATTTAATACAGATCCCATATCTACATGAAGCTCTCCCGAGCCTAGAATGAATGCTTCTGGTACAACTACCTGTAAGCTCGCTTGATGCGAAACAACGCCCGTCGATGTTGAAACCTGTGTGAGATATTTATTTATAAATTATTTAAATAGATCTGTTTATTTTTCCAGTAGCTTAAACTTTATCATCAAAAAGAAGTGTTCATCTCTATCTATCTATGTATGTATCATGTGAGTACGTGTGTTTATATGGAAAGTAGAATTTCATATACGTTTTATCGCTCATAGGTACAAATTAAATTTCCAAAAAAAGAAGGGAAAGGCAAACACAACTCAAGGAGAATGGATGGATACGAGAGAAAATATAAGTAAAACAAAAATTAGAGAAGCGATGATGGTAAAGGCAAAGAAAGGCAATTTATTTTATGAGAATTATACTGTATAACGAAAACTCGTATTGGCAACATTGTAAGTGAGGAAAAAAATCGAAAGATGTCAAATGTCGAGAAAAGAGAAAACATAAAATTGATTTAAAAATAATTCAATTGATTCTCAAGAAAAGGGAGAACGGAAAGAAAATTTCATCATTGCAGCATCTGAGTACGAATTTCATACATTCATATTTTATGCGGGTTTTTTCACAAGCAAGTGTTTTTTTTGGGGCCATTCACTTATTACGTAACGCTTTTAGGGGGAGGGGGGGTCTAAGATTTTGTTACGGTTCAAACAAGGAAAATTTTTTTTTTCATACAAATTTTGTTACGAGGAGGGGGGGGGGGTCTAAGAAGTCATTTTTTCGCGTTACGTAATAAGTGAACAGCCCCTTTGTAATACAATTCAATTTGACCAAGATTCAATGAAACTTCACACGCAGAAAATTAAATTGATTGAAGTGTTTGTAAATCTCTTTGAGCTTAGCAAGTAATTGCTTCTTAATTGCTTGGTACGTGCAGGTGCTTTACTTGTTTTTAAGTGGAATGAGAATAAATTACTTTAGTATTAATAACAAAATCAATAAAGCTTGAGAAATAAATTAGCTGGAGTTTATTTAGACAACCCAGGCCTCACTCCTCTGACTACACTTCAGGACGACTCAAAAATTATATTTTTTTATCAACCTTAAACAATCTATTAAGTTATTAGTGCAGTCCAACTTTTTTTATGGATTGCATGTGAAAAACTTTCAGCCATTATTTCCTCATAAAGACTTTTTAACTTATATTTCATGTAGATTGAACATGATGTGATATTATCGTATAATAAAAGAGGAACTGCGAAATGATGATATTGGGTCGAGGTAACTAGTAAATGAGTGTCATGAAACTAAAATATAGCAAAGACTAGAGCACTGAAAAGGCACAAAAAAACTTTTTGAAAGCTCATGAGAAAAGTTTTTCTCATATCTTTTTCAAATACGGTATGTATATATGCATATGAATTGGATGCCTTTTTTCCCATCCAATGATCGAAATGAGAAATGATGAAGTTTGATTTATGTTCTTTGCCATTGCTCTCTGTCTCGTCTCTCCCCATAAAAGAATAAAATGCAAATAAGGACGAAATTTTCAATTTTTTGATTATCAATAATGTATTGGAGCAAGCATAAATTTTCTCTTGAGGAAACAGCATAAAGTACCAAAAAGGAATTTTTCCCTCACTCTACATTTTGATATTTTATGCCATTATAACCGAATGATGAACAAAATCAAGTGAATTTTAAAACAGACTGATATAAAATCAGGTGGAATGTGAAGCACAAATTGATTTTTCTTTTTCAGGAATAAATGAAATGAATGAACATAAAAATTTTCATGCAAACAGTAACAAAATATTTGAGAGAATTTGATTGAAAAATGTGATGCGAAAATCTCTTGAATCTTGTTAAAGTTTCTTGATCGCTTTCAAAGCTAAAGATTTATGCGAGATTTATGTTTAAGATAAATAAAAAGAAAGCGCTGAAAAGTTCTTTGGAATTTTTTTATTTTATTCTTCTACTTGGCTTTTGTGCTTTATTGAGACAGGTGCTCTTTTCTTCACTCTTATACTTTTCTGTGTAAAAAATTGAAGGAGTCGTTTGTAAATCATGTCTCACTATTTTGTATCATATATTGAAAAAGTTTTGGATTCGACCCTTGATATCAAAATACCAGCTTTTATCAAGTTACACTTTGAAAAACCAAATGTGAGTCGCAACCAAGATCAAGAATGTCTCAACTACTTAAATTACTGCCTTAAAGCATTTGACGCAACATTCAAACGACTCCAAAAAGAAATTCCTCGATTGCCATTTTAGCTCCTTTCTCTATCAAGATGATATATATTGTTCATAGGAGATATAGAACTTCACGACCTTATTCGTATTGACGATAAATAGAAAAAAAAGTTCATGTAGACTTAAAGGAAGAAAAGATATCAGAAAAAAGAAAAGAAAGAGCTTTTAGAAGAATTTTATGTCAAAATTGAGTAAGTACACACATATGAATAGATACGTTTATATGTGCTTTCTTGAAAAGCATACTAGCGTAAAAGCTTTTACCAAATAGATCTAAGAAAGGTTTTGCACACGACATTTCGTGTCTCTGAGGCTTAGAGAGATTCTTATGAAAAGATTTAAGAGGAACTAAGAAATAATTTCATAGTACACCTTTGGTTTCTGTTATTTATTTCTATGGCACGTGTTTCGTTGCATAATTAACTTCTTTGTTCAAAATAGTATATCCGATTGTAGATCATGCTTGAGGCATCCTTTTTAGTGAACTACAATCAGTCTCAAAGGATTTTATCAACATCGAAATTTTGTTATTAAAAACTTTTCACTTTAACAACTGGATTTCTACTCAATAGTTCCTGATGACTATTCCCATGAATCCTAATTAAATTATAAAGTTTTTCTTTCATGATTAGGAACTTAATTATTACATAATTAATTTTAAGGATGCTCAAAAATATTTGCTAGATAAAGGAATCAAAATTTGTCACTTATTAATAAAGTAGATCAATATTTTAGATTATCAATAAGTAAACTTATTCTATTGATTTTGGCTACAAGGTATGAGGGTTGTTATGCTTGTAAATAAATCCATTCCATCAATGATCTTGAAAAATTCTTGAAATTCTCTCTAATTCAGGTAAGTTAATCTGTTTCAATAATATCCATTGATTCCTCTAGGGCTTGAATTTATCAATGTTATAATTCACAACTGACATTTACACATGTAGCTGCTTCCTTCATGAAAAGTGATAATTACAAGTTACAGTTTTGAAGATATCACAAACAAAATATTCCCCAAAGGTATTTCCTCCGTACATACATCCTTACACAAAATAAGAAGCTTACAAACAAACAATTAACGTAGATGTGCGTCATTTGAAACTTTTGTTCTGCTTTATTTTATTTGAGGAACAGCAGAGGAAAAGTTTTACTTTTCAAGATTTTGATTGTTTTATGTTTCAGCTCCTCTCTTTTTATTTGTTATTCTTATTCAGAACTTATTCGTTTATAAGTTAAGAAATAGCTGTTGTGACAATACCAGAAGTACAGCAGTATCATCAGCTTGGAAAGAAGAGAAGAAAAAAATTAAGTTCATGGGAAAAAAACAACTTTTCATTGCATGAAAGCTAAAATGGCAATGAGAGGAGAAGGAATTATTGTAGAAAATAAAATAAAAGAAAAAATGAAATCACAAAGGAGAAAAAAAATTATAAATGAGCATAAAGTGGATAAAGTAAGATGAAGAAAATGTGTTCGCTTAAAAGCGATTTTGAAACTGCTAAAAGCATAAAGCATGTTCGTAACAATACAATGCATTACACATCTAAGAGTGTAAGTGAAAGAGCGCGTATATATTGAAAAGTTTCTCCTTTATTCTGTGAATATACTTATATGGATATAGTTTCCACCAGAATAATTTTTCTTTCATCCTTCTTACTCCTTTATTTTCACTTTTTTTTTATTATATGCATCATCATACAAGTAGCAAGAGGCAAGGACGAAACGTGAGTGAATATGATAAAAAGAAAGTTTGTGAACCCTCTTCTTTCATATTAATCCCTTTCAACATATTTTTGAATGACAAATATGACTCTGCACTCTTTTTGTCATCAGTTATAAATCAAATTTCATGAACACACTTTATGATTTCAAAAACGGAAATCCAATTTGTCTTCTCGAACCATTAATTTTTGACGTGCATTTAATTTCACTTTTGACCTGACTAACGTTTTAAAGAAACAAGTTTTCACAACTCAAGCGATTTTTACGTAACTTATTAAGTTATAGTGAAAAAGTCTTGAAACCTCAACTTCCGTAGCTTTACTACTTGCATTTCTTTCTTCTTTAACTTTTTGATAATAAAAGCTTGAGAAAAGAGTACGAGGCAAAAGAAAAGCGATAATAAGAAGGCAACAACAAAAACTAGTTTGGATGTGAATAAAAAAAGGAACTTAAAACTGCTATTATTGACTCAATTTGACATGAAAAAAAAATAAAGTTTGCATCATTAAAAAGACATAAAACTTTGCATTGTATATGAACATATTATGGTAGTAGAAAATATCTAGAGAACCTGAATGTTTCACTCAATTTATATATTATAGCTGGTAGCTTCTTGTATCTATTTGCAAAACAATAACAATAATAAGAATAACAGTAGCTATAATAAATGAGAGGTGGAAAGTATGAAAAAAAAAGCTTGAAGAAGAGAAACAAATTATGTTTATTCATGATATGCTGTGTTAGATAACATTGTATGGTATTAAAGTAGTAGGTTAGGTTATGAACGATGATGATGGTACTACCTCAATAATGATGCAGATTATGAAAAAAAAAAATATAATAAAAATGGAACTTTCTTGTGTCACACGACATGTAGGTAGAAAAAAATGGGTGTTATATCATGTCTTGTTTTCATAGTCGATTTGTACATTATTTGTCACCTTATGTAACAAGGAAAAATGTAATATTAATAATAAAATATTCACTTACAGTACACTGGTAGATTCCATGGTCCCGTTTTTGTACAAATTTGATTTGTAATGTATATGTACTTTGTTTAGGCTCATAAGTTGCGACAAATCGCGCATCATTCGTATACAGACTATCACCAGATGATAAAATATGCCAATCTCTGCGTCTTACCCATGTAACTTGATTCTATATATTTTTGCCATGAGGAAAATAAAACGAAAGAAGAGAAAAATATAAAATAAAAGTCATATGTTTTTCATATAATACACAAGGGAGCAGGCAGGGAGAGTGTAAAATAAAGTAAGTGCAAATAAAATCAGTAGGAGGAGGAATATGAAGAAACCAATGTGTATACACATAACAAAATGATTGAGAAACAATGAACTCAATGATCTGAAAACGTTTTGATAGGGGAGCAAAGTTATTGTGTGGAGGAAAGGAGTTTATAGTCATTGACAGCTGAAAAGGCAACATTTGGAGAGACCTGATTTGAAGGAATTTTGTTGATTTCCGATTTAACCACATTGTGATGTTTACATAGCACTAAAAATTCAATCAACTGCAATGAGTTATTGCATAAACATTAAGACGGTCGAGTGATATCCATCGAAAGTGGCATTTTTGAACCTTCTCACTCTTCTATTATGAAAAGGTTTTGTCACAATTATTTCGACCCATTTCTATCTAATTGTATAAAGTCATTTGTGAATAACCCTAAACTAATTGCAGTCTGAACAGATATAAAAGCTTATCATATCCTTTGAATTTAAATTCGATTTTGAGTTTCTGCTCTTCTATCCATCGGAAATTGTTAAATAATAAAATTTTCCGTTACAATTTCCTTATCTTTACATCTACAAGACCTAAAATATAGAAGCTGTGTGTAATTTTTTTTCATTAATTCGTTTCTCTTCCTTAAAGGAAGTAATAACACTTTTTAGAGTCAGACAAACTGGCAAAATGTAAATTTAATTCAAATTTGATGTAAAAAGCACAGCAGTAGGGGTTAATCAGGAGTCTGAAGTTGTGTCACATTTCATTCATGAAACATGAGGTGAAAGGGTTCTAAAAATCCCATCACCAAAGTACATCTGAGTCTGTATCTTACATCCGCAAGTATAATAGAAATGGAAATAATTTTAACTTGTAGAAATTTTAATTGTGTGCTGTGTGAAAATAATGTCCTATCATTAATTCTTATTTTATGCTCCTTTTCCTTTCTTAGTCTTTATATTATTTTCCACAAAATGGATTACAAAACGACTCACTAACTGAGTGACTGGCTGACTTACTAAGTGAGTGGCTACATAAATGAAACGAATAAGAAAAAAAGGAATGAATGAGTGATTTAAATGTTGCCCGCAAAAATTTATTTCATTTTCATCGCTGATGGTGTTGAAGAGAAATATGGTGAGGGGTGAGAATGAGAAGAATGAAAGCACGCGTAAGAAAAACAAAATAGAGCTTTTTAAATACATAAAGGAATTTGAATAAATGAACGGCAGCAACAAAGAATGAAAGAATGAAAGAATGGAATCGCCAGTAGTGAAAAATGTAATAGAAAAAGAGCAAAAGAAAGTCATAAGCATCAGAGGCAATTGAAGGCTTGGCTAATTGTTTCTGACCAAACAATGCCAGAATGAAAAATAACGGGTAATTTGTTTGTGACATTTGCGGGATGTGTCCACAGGGCAGGAGCAGAATAAACAGCATATACATGCTGATAAAAATAATTTAAGAGAAATGAATTTTTTACTGACTGCTCGTTTTGTAGTACATTATATTCAACATCCACACAAACAATTATCGTGAGCACCAAAAATAAAAATATACAGCACATGAAATGGATTAAACAATGTAGAACATGAGGGAAGGAAAATACGGAAAAAATTGTGAAAAAATAAATAAATAAATTTTTAAATATGATATGATAATTTACTTACAGATTCAATGTCCGGCGCCACTTTACAGACGAGAAAAGCTGTTCCACCAAGCTGGACCGATGTATTGTAAGACATCATCTGCAGAGTTTTAATGAAAAGTCAACATTAATTAATGGATATTATCACCAATCAAGTCAAAAACAGACGGCCACAGCTTGGAACCAAATGAAAAAAATTATCATTACCACACAAAAGTATATACACATATACACACTTTATGTATACGCCAAACATTAAAACTTTTCCTTTTTTTTTTGCATAGAACAAACAACATGAAAAATAATGAAAATACCCCATTGCTATTTTTGGCTATTGTCAAATTGGTGTCGAATTAACATGAATATGAATTAAGTGAGGGGAGTTGAGATTCAAATCATCTACTAGTTATACAATTTTAACAATAACAAAATAGTATATTGCACCACAATAAAAAAATCACAGTGAATGAATAAGCTGGAAAACATAAAAGAGTGAGAAGGAAGGGAAATATTGTGTATATTAATTTGACAATAAAATATTCATGAAAAGCTTTTTTTTATTGACTTTTTTTTGAGCGAGATTGAATCAAATCAGCAAGTATTTTGTGGCGTTTGACAATAAAAAATATTAAAATTAATAAAGTGGGGTCTTTCGTTCATGCTGTCTGCATGAATATATGAGTTTTTTTTCCTCTTCCTTAACTCAAAATTGTCTCCATTGTCACAAAGCTAGACATCACTAATGGATGACTAATAACAGTTGATATTGTAACGAAGAAGTGAATGATAACTGCTTGCTGTTCAAAGGTCGCGCAAACCATGATTTCAATCTTCACGAAGTTGCTGACATTCCGACAAAATAAAAATTTGATGAAAGATTTCTTATATTATATTATATTTCTTATATACTTGATGAACTTTTGGGAGTGATTAAGGATGATTTTTCATTCGACATTGAGGAACTGTTTTGGCATAAACAGAAAGTTAAACATTGAGCAATATGGCAGTGGGAGGAAAAGTGAAGAATAGCCTCATAATAATGGCCAATTTTCCAGAAATTCAAAAAAATAAAAAAAAGTCACCCTCATGAAAAATGAAATATTATCGACTCAATTTACAGAGAAGATGAATGGAACGAGAGAAAATTATATGTATGGGATACGATTTAATAGAATTGAGGAATTTTTTTTGGAAATTTTTTTGTGATGCCGGAAAAAACAGAGAAAAAAAAGAGGCAACAACAATAAAAAGAGGGAGGAAATAAAAAATGCCTACATGGTAAAATTAAAATAAATGAAACACCATAAAATGCGGTCATTTATATAAATGACAATGAGAAATTGTCTGGCTGCCTGAATAAATGGGATGACATAGAGAGAGTGAAATTGCATAAAAATAAATTTTTTGTCGCTGTCTCGACGAAAATCTTTATAAAAAAAAATATAATAATTTGAAAGTTTAATTAAAAATATTCAAATTTTCGGAATAAGTTTTATCTATCTTCCGAACATGAGGAAAATACCAGTAGCTGCAATACAAATCCAACAAATAAAGTAAAGAAAAGCAATGTTATATCAAGCAATGGCATGTGAACACTAAAGAGTATCATAAGCTAGAAGAAAAACTTTTCTCGAATGAATGAACGGGATGAAAAGTTTTAACAGCCAGCTGAGTTGCTGAGCAAATTGATTGTAAAAATGATAAACTTTTCCTTGGGATAATAATTTAAATTTTTTTTCTTTCCACTGCTCCTTCATATTTCCTTTTTTTTCAGTCTCCTTATTTCCCTTCCGTTTCTTAACTATTATCTCTTCTTACTCTTTGTGAGGGAAATTAAATAAATACTACCAAGAGAAATGAAATTTAGAACGATAAAAATGGCAGTGGATGAACTTAAAAGGAATTCTCAATAGACGAACTGTAAAGCACAGAGCGGTTGATTGTCGCGGGGGGTCACCCGCTGATAACGAGTTCAGGAAATGTTCATTTTTAATGTAATTAGTAAAAAGCGTGCAAATAAAACTTTTTCTTTCTTCCCTACTCTTGTCAATTGAAAGGAACTGAACTTTTTTAGCCCTTCCTCATCTTCTTCCTTTTCCTCCTCGATTCATTTACAGGGTAAGAAAATTCAGGTTGATCAAATATCATGATCTTTTTTATCATAACCATTTGCACATTCCATGAATAAATAATTTTTAATTTGCAGCCTCAATGTCAAAAATTCATTACAGTCAGAGGTTTGACTTGAAATTTCCAATCAATAGGGACATGGCTTTGGGTTCAAGACTAAGCATATGAATTTTTTTGCTCAATTATATAAGAAACTTAGCCTCACTTTATTGATCATTAAACCTACTTGATGAAAGGAATCAATCTTAAAAGCTCAAAGCTACAACTGATTGAATAATAAAATCAATGATGTCAATCAATGATGTAATAATAAATATTGAGTTTTTAAAACTCTGGTGTCTTCCTCCATCTATATCGCGAGTAGAGTGAATATTAAAATTTTAAAAATAAAAGGCATTTAGAGAATAGAATAAATGAAGATGAAAAATAAAGAGAGAGAAAGGAGAAAAGGCTAATTAGCGATTCAGAAGCATCGTCAGCGTCATTAAAAATGATGAAGAACTCGCTTTGTTTGTGTGTGTATGCATGTATATGAATGCTTTTGAAAAGAATAAAAATTATGAAAATGTTTAAAGTCGAGGGAAGAAAAAGCTGAAAGCAGCGGCAGTGAAATGAAAAAGTTGCACACAACGGAAATTTATTAGTTGAAAGTTTTCAACTCTCGAAAGAAGAAGAAGACGTGGAGGAAGAGATAGAGTATAAAAATTTAAATAATAAAATGCAATTTTGTTTATAAAGTGCAGTCCCCATAGTTAATTATAAGCAATTTCTCAGTATACAGTCGAGTTGAGTTGAGTTGGGTTCATGAAATATAGCAGGAACGAGGGCAAAGAAGAAAAGTATCTCAATGATGTAATTAAGTTAAGTCTTATTATTATTCATTTTATAACAATCTCATAGCAACAACAATACCATAGTTTATATTATGAAGTACTGTAATTTACAGTTCCTTTTTTGCCTCCTATTTTATTTTGTTTGCATGCAAAAACACAAAACTTTGGCGTAGACAAACATTTACATAAGTAATGCATCCACATCTCCAACACAATAAATGGAGAACGTATAAAAGTTGAAACATTCAAAGCATGTAAATACTATTTCACAGACTTGAATGTAAGTTCAAATAATAGCTATTACAAACTGTTTAGTCATAATAAATTTTTTTTGTGAAAATACAAACCTCATTATTACCGTCCAGAATGAAATTATCGCTGACGTCTATAGCATTCTCTGTTCGATGATGGTCTGTCTCAACCCATACCTTTGGCTTAATATTGTTCGAGTCTGTGTTATTCAGTGATTTATTATCTGTAATGAGGCATAGAAAACATACAGTTGTTAGAGAATGAGAGAGTGTGTAAATATAGACACTAACATATCGAGTCAAATACATGCGAATTGGACGTGAGATGGAAAGAGAAATATAGTGATGGTGACTACATGAGTAACAGACATTTCATAATTCATGTTTAATTTCAGATAATGAAACGTTTGTATATTGAGGTTGAAGGCTTTTAACATTTCATTGGCACGCAAAAAAGTTTGTTGTCAGAACTGCTGTCTTCTTTTTGATAGCACACAAAACGAGTCGATCAAGGATTTTTTAATACTTTTGCGGATAGGACGAATACGAAGAAGGAATGAAACTTTCAAGGAAAAAGAAAGCTGAAGAAGATTGAGAAAGGAAGAGAAGAGTGCTACGTGTGGTAAGTTATGAATTGGTCAAAATCAATACACTTTCAACATCGATCTTAGCGTTCCTTCAATACCTTTTTTTCTTCTTCTTTCAATGTCTTCCTTATAAATTTTGCTACTTGTATCGTTCACAGTATGAGATATAAACGTTCCAATAGTTGAAAATCATAAATAAACTTACGTTTGCCTTCATCGAGGTCTTTTTGATAACGAATAAGCTAGGAGTATGAAAAGAAGGAATTTGCAGGAAATAAGGAAAGCAAAAAAAATTTACTTAACCTTACAATATTGATGTAGGTACATATTTTCATACTGATACTGCGATAAATGTAGGAAGAAACCTATTGAAGCAATATGAATGAAAAATTATCAGATGAAGAATCTTTATTCATTCTGGGCTCTCATTCTTGTCTTTTTCCTCTATTTTCCCTGAAAAGGGTTTTCTTTTCTTCTTTTTCATTTCATATATTACGAGGAGTATAAGGAGAGAGTATATTTACGAATATAAAGTAAGTTGAAAGCGATAGAATGGAAAAAAATGGAAAATGGATAGGAATACACATAAGAAGAAGGAAGAAGGATGAAGAATGAAAGAGTAGGAAGAAAACACAATGAGTTAGAGTTTAGCTCACATACCAGAAATGATAGTAATACTCTAAGGAATTGTATGTGCATACTCATCTTCTACTTATGCTGCTGCCATAGCTTATATTATTTCTTTTAAAAAAATTGCAATTTCTTGACTTTTTTTCTCTACTATTTATTTTCTCCAACTATATTGCTGCTTCTGCATTATCTCAAACAATGAGTTGTCATGGGAATATTCATGATTTAGGTACATAATGTAGCTCATTTTTATCTCTTCTTCTAACTTCTTATTTTTTATATTTTTTTAAAAGATTATTTTTTATTTTATTTTTCATTTCATTTCATTTTATTTATATTTTATATGGAATGTATAATGTCAACGGCCAGAACTGTATTCAGGATGACTGTTATTCGTAAAACAAATTTCGAGGAAGCTACTCGTAACCCTCTGAATACACCTCTGATGTGAACATATTTCTCTGGTAAGCATAATAAAAAGAAGAAGGAAGCATAGAAAGTAGCAATTTTAATGGTAAATGCAATGGAGAATTTTGAGCTTCTTAACTAAATTAAATTTTTTTGTGGAAAAAGAAGCTAGATTTAAGAGCTTTTATTCATGTGATATCATGAGTAAAATAACTTGCAGCAGATTTTCATATTAAAGATATATTCTTGTGCTTCCTTTGCTATGGAAAGAAAATTGAATACCACAGTTCTCGACAAATTATTCCTTCATGGTAACAGTCTTAAAGTCAAAAACATGAAATTTATTGCTGAGAACAGGCACCAGACATTAGATAATATCTATAAAAAATAAAGCTGTGCCTTTTTCCTCGTTCTTTTCTTTGCGCCTATATAAAATCATTCCTTATTCACTTTCGTGATTCGTATGGATTAAAGATTGAAATTGCATGAGATCAGTGGATTTTCCTTCCAATTTCCATTCTTTTATCCTCCCCGCTTACTCTACAAATTTATGTTAAGAAACCTTTTTACAGTTTATTTCACATGTTCTTGATTCCCAGTGAGACAACGTTTGTCCTATTATGCTGAAAATTGTTAAAATGGATTTACTAAGATTGTGCTTTTGATGCCAGTTCAAGAATTGAAAACTTTTGAACTATTGGATTTAAATTTTAATACTTTTAAATGTTCTTATGAGTTTTTCCTTTCATACTTATCATAAAAATGAGGAGATAACCGTAATGGTATAGGAAATAATGGAATTGATGAAATGTAAAAAACCACTCATTCGAAGAACGACCTCAAAATATTATAGAAAGTTACTTGTTCAGCATATTGACATAAAAAGCATTAGAAGAAGCTCCATCCATTGAGTTTGTTCAATCAAAAAAAAAAAAAGAAAGACAGATAAATTGAATGAATTTGTTGGAACCTTTCATACAATAGAAATAATATGTAATCATATGTCCATAAATTGTCTAAAAGATTGGTTACAATTTAAGTAAATAAACCATGGGAGGTTCATTTGCATTAATAATGATTTATTTATTTAACATTACTTGGGGCTTGGAAAGAAAACAAAGAGCTTACAGAGTAGGCAGCAGTGTGTGATTTTCAATTGGTAAAAAGATTATTCTGTCGTATTATAGGCTACAGTTAATTAAAGAAACAAAATAGCAATGGAAATCCAAAAGAGGAATAAAAATTATTTCTATAAGATCACAGTATCTCTTAAAAACAATTCAGGATGAGCAAAAATCAGTTATGTTGGACGTTACAAAACAATTGTTTGAGCCAATATTGACATAATTTTCATTTAACTTTATTGGGTAAATAAGGGATAAATCAACATGTATTTCAATGACAACATGGAGTATTTAAATAAGCTGATACACTTATACGCAGCAGGACCCAATTGATGCATACTTCACAGCATGAAAATTAATATAAAAATCGATTGGAGATATTGTTAAGTATACCGAATCTTTTTTCTCTAAAACGTAATCTTTTCATGACCTGTAATTTACAAAAATAAAAGTAAGCCTATCTCACTGGGTTTGCTGATACGAAAACTGTTAAAACAAAATCCGCGATTTAATGAAAAAGTGATGGGAAAAAAAGGAAATCAAAATCCCTTTCCATTCAGTTCGCAGATATTCAACAAGATATTGCACATTTCAAAGTATAATCATAATCTTAATCTGCTTACCTGTGTTCATAGCTAGTAATATTGAAGGAAGCCAAAAGACTAAAATCCGTATTTCCAACATTACTGTTTTTCAGTATCAAATCCCACAGTTCAGCATTTATGCCTTACTTTGAATTTCATGTAAAATTACCACAAAAAACACTCAATTTCATGTAGCATTTCAGCAAAAAGCTTAAATTGTATGTAGTATGTGTATATTTATATGGTATGTCGGTATGGTTATGTTCACAAACTTTTCTTTCGTACTTTTTTTTTCTGTTTTTGATGTCGTTGACGACGATGTTGTTTAAGCTTCCATACACAATTTAACTCAACTTTTTAGTTTTAATTTCAATTCTTTCTCCTCATATCACTGCCATTACATAAACTTGTTTTTAATCTCCTCACACACATATTTTGCCGACATACACAAACATTTTCATTATTTTTTTTTTCTTTCTCATTCGTTGCTCACAATTTTATTTTATATCATTTTTTTCTCTTCCTGTTTTGCGAGAATTCACTTTAGTTAAATATTGTATAATCCTGGTATCTGTAAGTACACACAAACAATGAGACTTTAAATTCCCTCCATATCCACAAACATGATTTTTTTTCTACTTATTTCTCTCTTTCAACATACAACATCATACACAGTTTGCGAAGGGGTCGTTCAATTATGACGTCCGAAATTAATGGTCATTTTTCAAAAAAAAACAATGGATATCCTGGAACTTCTATTATTCTTTTCTTGCTGACCCCCCCCCCCCCCCCCCCCCCCCTGGACGTCATAAGTGAACGGTCCCGAATGTGACTATGTGAAGTAGAGGGTATATTATTCTAACATTTTCTTTTCGCTTCCAGTCTTTTTGCTCTCTTTCTAGTTTTCTAAAATTTAATTTAATTTCTAAACTCATATACTCTGTTATTCATTTATTCATACATATGGTTTGCGTTTTGCTATTTTTGAATGCTTAAATTCCATTCTATTTCTCCCATTATTTCTGATAACAACAAGCAAGGGTCGGAGGAGGTACAATAGAAACTAGAAAGATGTGGCAAGTAATGGAATGAGAGAAGAAGGAAAGCTTTATGAGAATTTGGGGACATTGAGTGGAATAAAGAAGGATGAGGTAAGGAAAATTATATGCTCGAAATTGCTTTTTCGGTGTTTTGGGTCAGCGATTTATGATGCCATTTTCAAACAAGAGCTAGAGAAGCTTCATCGCATAACATTAAAAAGCTTTCTTTCTATCATCTCAGAACTCTCAACTTTTTTTTCTCATTCATTTATTCTAAGCTCTATGGACTAGTATAAATCCGACAAAAGTTGAATAATTAATGAATGATTAAAACAATATAACACTGCAAAATCAGCAGTTGCCGGCTGAGACTGGATAGATTGGAGAGAAAAAAACGAGAATTAATCCCGGACATAGGTTAACTACAGAATATATAATATAACCAAAATAGTACAAAATAAAATAATAATGTAGCAGTATTTATATTTGTGGGTGTGTGATATGAAATAAATAAATATTTTTAATAAATTACAATCCGAAAAAAGTTAGCAAAACTGTGAATAAAGCATGTCGCAAAAATGGTGAAACGATAAATTACCAACTTGGAATAAATAATTGACAGGAAAAATAGCAGAACTATGACAATATTGTTTGGTAGTGAGAAATTCGAAGCATACAAGTAAATAAAATAAATAATGTTATCAGTGTGTCAGTCGCATAGTAATAATAATAATAATGAAATGTTGGAACTGTCAATGTTGTTTGGTGGCGATTTACTATTATGTGACTTGAAAGATAAAAATCTCTTCACGCACATTCTACTCTCACACTTCCTTCCTTCCTGTTGTGGTTTCATCTTCATCAATTTTGCCCTTTTATTTATCTTCAATTCTCTTTTACTCTTTTATGGATATTATAATCTTTTGAGATCGTTCATAAATGACGTCTATTGAAAACTTTATTTTTGGATTCACAAGGTTGAAGTATGGATCCGAGACTAACACTTCAGGCTTTTTATTTCAACTCTGCTATGCCTAGACGTATTTTATGAACATCATCTGATGCTTCAAACATTAAAGGAATCGATGATAAAAAGAAAATATTTTTGATTCATTCAATTCAATAGAGGAAAATAAGAAAAAGTAAGGAAGAGTGTGGGTAAAGAAAAACTGTATAGTAATAATAATAATGATGGTGATGATGATAAGTAAAGTAATGCTGAGCTTATGTAAGAGAATATGGGATTTAAAAGTTACAAATGAGCTTTAATATAAGAAAGATTTTTCATTTTTACTGTTCCTTATAATCTCACCCATTCCCTTCTTCATAATTCATTTTAAGAAAGGAGCTACGGTTAATATTGTGTCTGACTTTACTGAGATAATCTTAGAATTATGATACGGTATAGAAATAATGTTTACTGCATGGAAAAAGCTTCTGTGCCATGTTCAAGGATTTTTGAATTTTTAATATTTTATAAATAAATTTATGTATTCAAGATTGCCTTTAGCGTGATTTTCAAATTATATTTGAGGAACGAGAAATGAGCAAGAAGAAGGAGAGAGAAAAAAATTAAGAAATCTTCTTATTCATTGCAAATTCCTTCTCTTCTTGTTCTCTTCTTATAATTTAATAACCTCAACATGAATTTCAACGAGAAATGAAACAAGCGAGACAGAAAGCTTTTAATACACCCAATAATTGATGATGAAATGTATACATTTACAAGCAGTAGCAGCAGCATAAGCAAAACGAAGTAAGAAATTTTAATCAAATTCTACTTTATGCTTCAAAGAGTTTTTGTTACTTTTTTATGCCTTCCAATTCAATTTTGTTGCACCCCTGAAGAGCTTTTCATATAAATTTTTTAAAAATAAAAATAAAAAGGAGGAAGATATTGGTTACATGAACGTATAAACATTACAGAAGTAAGTAAGGAATAGTGTCATTTCAAATGTTTGAGTAGAAAGCACCAATCATAATTTGGTCGTTAAATGACAAAATCAATAAAACTTGAATCTCTGTAGTTATCTAGACCAAGATCCTAAAAACATTACTGAAATACTACAGTACTCAAGTAAGTCTATGGCCGAGTGTTAGAAAATGGTTCATTTTACAGGAACATCCGTGATTTTCAGCGACAGTTTTCCTTTAAAAAAACCAGTTTTTTAAAAAAAATGCTGACATTACAGTTCAAATTGTATGCATTGTAGTTCAAGCATGCTTACAATAAATTAAAAAGCATTACGAGACAGTTTTCGTTTTTTTTTTATATTCGTGAAGAGCAAGTGAAAAGCTTCTTCAACTTCATAAACATTATTACATACTTCCCGCATGATTCCTTTCTCATAAAGAATAAAGAGAAGAAAAAGCACAAAATGTAAAGAGAATTTAGAAAGTTTTTGCCATTTCACAGTAACTTAGTATGATATGAAATTCATATCTCATCTCTTTTTTAAACAATGTTTTTGTCTGCTTCTGTATTTTATGCCCTTAAACAATGTTTCTGTTGTATGTTTAATGAAAAATGTGTGCTAACATATAAGTATCTGTACTTCTCACAGCTACTGAATAATTTTTATTTTTTTATACTTATTTATACCCTTCCCGGGATTCTTTTACTTTTTTTATATCCCGTAGCATACAATGAAATGTGACATATATGTTAGAACTGAATGAAATAAGCATCGACATGCTGTCGACTTCAAAGTGAAATGAGAAATGAAAATTATTGTGGGAGGAAAAGTAGCAGCTGAGGAACAGAACGAAAACATGAGAAAAATCGCTTATGCAATATAAAAAAGTTACTAGATACGAATGACTCTTTTGTTCTTTTGTTTTGTTAGATGTCCAATGAGCTTTTTTTTTGTTGTATTTCTTTAACTCCTTTCTTTACTTAACATTCTTCAAACAGAATAAGATAAAGAAGAAAAACAAAAGAATTGGGATTGGCAAGTGTAACGTGAAATGTGAAACCTTTTTGCTTTAAGTTTTTTCCGCTACTTTACTTTACTTTACCTGAAGTATCTTTTTACTCCTTGTACATTTCCAAAAGAACACATAAGAAACACAAATGATTGTTATGTAACTGAGGGATTCGCTCACAAGTTACGTCAATAAGAGTATTACATCCTCCGACAACTTTCGTGTACGACCACTAAGAACACGAAAGTCTAAGGGGAAAGAAAGCAAATGATAATCTTTTCTAAAATTTTCTTTCTTCCTTATTTTCTACCTTCAAACTTTTTGTAAATAAAGTGAATTGAATCCATCCTTCTATAGCACACATTTATTATTTAATATGTGGAATTTACATTGTGTATTCAAGAATTCTTGCGGGGCTTTTTACACAAGCAAATTCCTTTGAAATCTTCTCAGTATAAAATGAAATGTGAATGAAAAACGTTGAAAATATATTTCACATAATAATAACTGTCGTAGATGTATTTATCCATACATACACATACGTGATTGTACCTTTTCCCTTCATCTTCATCATTTTTCCAATCTCGTTTCTCATTTCAGCCTCAATACTAGAGAAATTTTGTGGTAAACCAAAAATGAGACAGAATGAGGAAGAAAATAAAAAGTTTTTTTTTCTCGTCAAGATTTTCGTAATTTTCCTAGATTTCATACTTCAAATGTATCCCAAACAATTTCATTCTTGACGACTAAGGAAAAAGTTTATCATAGACACTCGTACATGAACAATGATAGAGATGGAGAAATTAAATTTTGTTGAATTGAATGTGGGAAATGTTAATTTAGGAGACGTCTTTATGTTGACAATTAAGCAACAACTATTATGATGATGATGCTGATGGGTATGCATCATATATTCATCTCATCATATCTCAACTCGACTTTAAATTAAAATTCATTGGAAGCACGAAAAAGGAACAGCTTTTTACAATCTTCGTTCTATTTATGTCATGCTCTCTCTGTCTGTTCATCACCATAATCATCATCTACATTGTTTTTGGGGTCATTCACAATTGACGTTCATTGAAAAGTGATGTAAAGGAAGGAATGTAACCCCTATCCTCATAATTTTTGAATGTCACTGGTAAACGGGCTCTTAGCAGTCAGTTGAAAAAACAAAGTGAAATGTGGAATGGAAATTTATATTCAAAAAATCTGAATTGAAAACTTTTCCTCTTGTGTTTTTTTTCGCTTCTTTATTTTGCGATGGAAACAATACAAGCAAGATAACAAAAAACAAAGTTCCTTTTTCTTAAAATAATAATTGAAGAGAATAAAAATGAAAATGGAATGAGTAAAGCTAAGAAAGCGTGCGAATATAAGGCAAAAGCTCTTGTAAAAGAATAACAAAACATCTTTCGAATGATGGTACAAATAAATAAATTGTAGGCTTTATATTTTATCCTCTTCTTTTCCATGATCTTATGCTTTGAGTAAATCACATTCACTTTGTGTTTGAAATTGACGGGAAAATGTCAAAAATCGGCTCTAAGCCTCATTCTTGAGAAATGGAAGTAGATGAGACGAAAAGATTTTTTTTTTTTTAATTCCGAAGAATGAATAGAAAAATTAATGAGTGCTCATTACAATTTCCTTTTTACGTTTGGAATGGTCTCAACAATTTTTCACATTCTCTTTGATAAAAGGTCGGTCCTATAAGAAAGGTTAATTAATTTTCTTAACATCATTATATGAATTTGACTCTATTATGTCTCCAAAAATAAATTAATACATGCTTAAAACTTTTTCATTTTTATTGTAGATTATTTTTTTGTCTTCTCGAAGTCATTAAAGATATAGCGCGTGGGAAAAAAGGAATAAAGGAAAAAAGTTTGTAATCTAAGACTTGAAAAGCATTCATGAATTGAATAGACTCCTTTGAAATCGTTAAAGGTTAAAGGGGTCTGGAATTTCATGACAATGTCTATTAAGTTTTTGTATGATTTATTTTTGACATAGACGCAACATGACCCTTTTTGATAAAGGTTATTAAATTTTCTGTAGGAAGTCTACAAAATCTGTCAATATCTACCCTAGACCATTGATTAAACTATAGACAAACTGTCAAAAACCTAATTTTATAATCACAGGAAAATTGCTTAGTTGAAGAATCCTTGAAGAAAGAGAAAAGGAAAGTTAATTATTGATAGAGGTAAAGGGCCTCCTTTTTTCCTCTAATGCTTTTTTAAAACAATGTAAAGGCAAAGCTTGAATAAAGCAAGAATTTATTAAAGCTTCAATAAATTCTAATAGAATCTTATAAATAATTCCTCAACATTTTTTGAGTTTGCACGGGTAGGTACAAAATTTATATATTTATATTAAGGCATATTCGTGCACACCTTACCACAAGTTTCCAAAACAAGAGAGGGAAGAAAATGAAATAAAAAAAATATAATGTTTGTTTATGCTTATAAGCAGCCAAGAAAGAGTAAGCAAGAATGAATGAAATCATCGAGTCAAGTAAACATGAAACGATAATATTATGATGTTAAATTGTAAATGATTACATTTTAATTTCAGTATGGCTTGACTTATGATCGAACGTGTACATCATAAAATTTTAAATCAAGCTTTTTCTAGATTAAAAGGCATGATGGCATCATAAAAGTATAGTTTTAAAAAAAAGATAAATTGAGCAGAGTGAGGAACAAAAATTTTTTTTTTTGAATTCCATTTCAAATGAAATGAGAGTAAAAGGAACTCCACACATATAAACAAACTGGGTCACGATTTTTTTGCTTCATAAATTATTCAAAACTTGTGCCCGCTTTTGCTGCTCTTTTTCGATTATATGAAAAGCATTATGCGCTGTGTTGGCTACATACCACAACTACAATTTTTTTTTCCTTTTTGTCTATATAATAAAACATACCATAGATGTTGGCGTTGATGATGATGATGATAGAGAGAAAGAGCAGAGGGAGAAAAATATTCAAAAATGATTTAAGTAGGATAAAAAATACATCAACATCAACATCATCATGGTTGGTTGGTTATCATCGTCGTGATCATGTATGAACGTCAACTTCAAGTATTGTCTTCAATAGATGTAGATAAAGGGAATAGCTGAATGAATGAATGAAAGGAAGTCAGATAGAGAGATGGAATGTCGAAAATTTTAGTGATGAATACATTCCCACGCGTAATAGCACAATATGCATACATATAAAAGTGATGTTTAAGCTCTCTTTTGTCGTTCTAGCTTTTAGTGCTTTTCGTTATTTTATAAGACCATCACATGAAGATGTGGATGTGGTAGAACAATTCACAAATACGAAAAATTTCATACTCCTTTGTGTACAACATTGTTTATCTCTTATATCTCTCCCCCTCTTAACCGACTACCCGCAATTTTCACTCATTTTCTCTTTTACTTATTTCCATTTTTTTCCAACCATATGCATTTATGGAGGACTCTTTACTTCACGTTTATAGAAACTTTTTCATTTTAATATTCTGTTGAGATTTCTCCTTTAAAAATGTATTTTTTTTCTATTTCGTGCAAATACGGTATTACTGCAAGCATATACATAGATACTGCATATAATACTTCCGACGAATAACCCAACTCAACCTTGCAGACCGTCATTCAATTTTCACATTCCATTTAATAAAATGGTAATATTACTCTGATTGCTATCACAATTATTTCTCTCCCTCTTCTTTCCTCTGAATAAGAGTATAAGGGATAAGATCTCGAATGAAAAATATTTGCTTGACTTTAATGGCAAATATAGTGGTTCTGTTTTAGAGCATCAAGCACTGATATCAGCTTTACATCAAAAAAAAATGAAATGCTTTAATTTCCCATCTCCATTTTTATCGTTCTCGGCAAGTAGAGTTGATATTAATACTATTATTATTATTATTACTTTTTGCTTTCGTGCATGCACAACAGCCACAAATTTAATAATGCAATTTTATGACGTAATCTAATGTTGCCATTTCACTATTTCATGATTATCATCATTATTGTTATGAAATGCCACTCAATTTTGAATGAAAATATGATCGTGAAGGCTAGATTTGCGGTAAATGAGGCATGCAATCTGTTTTTATCCACTGTGTATTATTATTGTTATTATTTAAAGGTTTTCAAAAAATCTGAATGAATTTTAATTTCTACATTTTTATAGAGATGGAATGAGAAGGGTCGTAAATTGCCATAGATTGAAGTTAATCATAATTAATCATCATTTGAAGCTGAGTGGTTCGTAATGATTAAAATTATTTGCATAATTCAATTAAGATCGATTACTAAGCAGTGACGAAGCTTATTTTATTCTATGAGTATCATCCTACACTGAGATCAGAAAGTAAAATCTTTACAAAACCTATATAATGATGATCAATACTGACTAATATGGGAAATTTGTATTTTTAAAAATCCACTTTTTGAAAATTCCATGTAACGATGAGCACAGCATGTTTATTCTCATAAGTTAAGAATCTACTTAAGGTAATAATAATCTACATGTAGAAGATTATATTGTCTGAATGCATCCTTATCAAAAGGTATTTTGTGGATCCATTTTAATCCTCTTCATCATCCCTAATTGTACTTGTTTTTTTATATATAAAAATTTTTAACACATAAGTGCATGCACAATTTGTCTCATTTTTTACGCTTCTCACAGCTCAAAGTACTTTTAATGCAATGAGATCCCTTGGAGTGGCACTCACTCGTTGTCGTCGTCTTCATCGTTTTACATGAAAAATTGTCGCCACAGCAATAAAATGCTCAGCTATAAGATGGAAATTCTATTCCTACTTTAAGAGACGGAAGGAAATGTAAGGCTGAACATGTAATGTAAATGGTAGTGTTAAAAAAGGAGCAAAATAAAAATGGGAAAGACGTAACGATAGGAAAGAGGAAGTGCGTTAAAATGGAATCCATTTTCACCTTCAAACCATCATCTCATCACAATCACACACCACCCGGCTCTTTGCAAATTTTTCTACAAACAGAATTTTTTTTTCTTTTTGCTCTTCTTATTCTCTTTTTTCTCCTTTTTATGCCTTTCTAAGATTTATTTCTATTTAATATAATTTTTCCTTGTTCTTATTTTCTTTTTTCACAACTTTCCTTGCCTTTTCTTATTATTTTTTTATCTAACTTATTTTTTGTGCCTTGTTGTCTTATCACTCAACGCAATACGATATGGTAATAGCAGTCAGTTACAATGATACACAAAAAAATGAAATGTCACACATAGTCGAATTGTTAATCCCTTTTATTCTTTCACTCACTTCTACTGTTTTTATTCTATTTTATTTCCACTATATGTGATGTTGTATTTTGTGTGGTGTTATTCTGTATGTTTTTTTTTCTCTGGTAATCCTTTGAATGTGCCCATAAATAAATTCAACATTCTGTACACATTTTTCTGTCGGCTTTTGTCACTTCATTTTAATCCTCATTTCATGTTTGTCGCGTGCAAACAACAAAAACTGCAAAAATTGTTTTTTTATTTATCCACAATTGTCCTGATCCGTTTTATTTCTTTTCATCGCAATTTAAAATTTTTCACACATTATTGCACATTATATTCACATTTTACAGCTTTACCCACAAAAAAATAAACTATTCGTTGGTCAATATTATTCCAAACAACACGTTAAAGATGCGTCTGAGTAGCGGAAAATTTGATTTGTAACTGGGTGGTGTTATTTTCCACAGATATTTTCCACTTATTTCGTTTCATATCCCATCAATATGAACAACATTCAGTTTTTCATACTCTTACTCTCCAAAATTTTCGCTCTCGTCTTGATCATCGACAGAACGAATGCTTTGCGAAGTTTATTTCGCACTTTTGCGCATTTGAGAGTCCTTTACTTCTCTCATTGGCTCTCTTTCAAGACTGTTCCACGAAAATTTCATCTCTCATGTAAGCTTTCTTGGGTTATTGACTTAATATAATTTTTACTGCTTCCACTGTTTCTGCTAGTGGGCGATTCCATGAGTGAATTTTTTTTTCTCAACTCAATTTTTTGTAAATATTTCCTTAATTAACTTCATTTAACGCCATATTTAAGATTTATTTTATTTGTTATTATGGTATATATGTATTTTAGTGCATAATCTTTTAGTTAAATCTGTCTGACAAAAGATATTTTAAAAAAACCAAACTTAATCGGTCAACTTTACGAAAAATTGATTTTTAAATTTTCATCAATATTTCTTCGAATATCCATTGTTGTGTTACAAATCTATGATAAACACACGTGAATTCGTCTGTGCTTTATAACAATATCTTATTTGTATGTCTTTCTACTGTAATTAAGGAGAAAATTGGGGAAAACACCACTTAATCGGTCAACTTTCAACCGATTATTGCAAAACATATTACATATTTTTGTCAAAATGCAGCATAATTAAGACTATTAAATGCTAATAACACATGAATTGATGAATAATAAGTCTTATTAAGTGAAAATATATGTTGAAATATGTATATTTAAGCAGAAAAATCTAAAAAAGTTTTTGAACAAAAAATTTTCAGTTCCATTTACTCATGGAATCGCCCTAGTGTCATTTTCTTATCACTATATTATGTAGTAATTCATTATTTCAAAATGTAATTTATAATATCAATATGATGAGAAATGATGGAGATGAAAGGGGTAGCTTCAAGATGAGACAATCAGATGCTATCACACTTTTCATAATGAGAATTGTCTTTAAACGTTTCTAATTATGTATTTTATGATTAAAGTCTTTTTACTGGAAAATATAAATCTTTTGTCATTTAAGGACTTTATTCTCAAGAGTAATAATGACTTGATCACAGACAAATTAAAACAAAATTTTCACTTAATTTAATTTAATAGTTTTGAGTACACGTGGGCTAATATTAAAATTATATTTTCTCATGCAAAAGATAGTGGATACAGAATAAATAGCCACAAGGTATTCAAAAAGGTAATAAGGAGCAAAAAGTATATAATATCGAGGATTGTAATAGCTTGACCTTATTTCAAGGTTCAATTCACCTTTTCCTCAATCGAGTAATTCACACAGTAGATTTTAATCGACTTTTATTTTATATTTTTGGCTTCTTTCTTTTCATTTTTTTTTTGTGTGTTGCCTTTTTTTCGTCCGTCCCTATATCCACTTCACTTTACCATAAAATTGGTTTATCGCGTATGATGTGGTGGCTCTATATGCTTTTTATGCAATACTTAAAAATGAAAAGAAGAGCTTTCTGCTCGTTATGAAGTGAAATAAACTGAATTTATGCAATATTTAACATTTTTATGGAAGCAACTGCTCTGCTGCTACTGCTGTGTTATGTGCCTATGAGCCTCCATAGATATACTGAAAATTATGAATGTAGACTGTACACATTTATGAGAATAATAATTTTTTTGGGGATAAATTTAATTTAGATTTTTATCATACAGTTCACACTGAGTTGCGAGAGTGTGAAATTCGCAGTGTAAATAATAATTTAATTTTCCCTTATTCGCTTAATATAGGTATGCAGATAGAAATTACCACTATCTATCCACCAACACATGTATAATACATAAAAAAGGAATGTTAATAAATTTTACACGTGAAAAATTGAAATGTTTTCAAATATACATGCATAACTTCTCCATGAAAGCCATGTATGCATAAATATTTAAGTGACTGAAGGATGTATGGATGTATATAGACAAGCATGCATATCAACCTGTAACAGGAACAACTCTATAAATCTAGATCAACTTTATCTACGATGAAAAATGACTTATCTTCGCTCTCATACGAAATTGCAATCAGTGATCAATTTTTAAAGCAGTTTTTCACATTCATTTTGAAATGAAAGCTAAAACATATAGAGGTGGAGTGGAGTGGTATAAGGAATATCTACGTAAGCAAACATATACAATTCACATTCTGCGATGAATATTTATGGCAAATAATAACATGCAATGCACATATGAATTGAACTGATACTCTTCGTTCTCAGTTTTAACCTCATCTCCTCCTTCCAACCAATTTATAGGAATGAACATTTATTTGAAAATCGAGGCAAAGTAACATTTTTTACAGCCGTATACACGTAAAATGCCAAAAATACAGCACTTTAAATTCTCGAAATAAAAAAAAGAAATAAGATGATACAGGCAGGAGTCTAGTTTTGAATTTTACTTCTTCGACTTAAAACTCTTTTTTGGAGCATCCACCTTCTCATCTATTTTCCATTTGCACTCCTTCTCTTATTTGCTGTCTGCCCCTGAATGCGTGCGAATCTATATATTTATTTATACGGCACATATTGAGAAGTGAGTTTAGGAGTATTGGAATGAGTAAGATTGAGTTTATTGCTATAGTAAATAAATCGAAAATGATCAGATAAAGGCAGTTTCCAGTAGTCATAAATTGTTGAAAATGTGTATTTATGTGTGTGTATATTTTGTACGCGTATGTTGCCTTATTTTCGGTGAAAAAATCGTTTTTGTCCTCTCTTTCATCCTGTCATGTATTGTGTGCATGCCAGCTATCATAGCACATGTATGATATAGCTTCCAATTCTTATGACTTGATCAAAGTTAAGAGAAAAGGAAAATCTCACTTTCATACACTTCTTCATGTCATATATGTATGAGAAAGGATGGAAATTTATTACATACCTCAACATAAAATCAAAACACATTGCAATGAAAGTTTTGCTACATCTACTGCTGCTGATTTTTGCTGTTCCCACTAAAGCTTTGTGGCGGGTCTTAAATCAATATCAAAATCTGAAATCTGATTAAGCTTAACTTTCCGTCCCCTCCTTTCCCCCAACCTTATTTTCATACTTTCTTCTGCTTCTTTCCTATCCGTAATGTTATTATTCCTACTGCTACTGCTGTTTGGTTTCAACATGTTATTTAGAAAGATTTGTGATAAACATTATTAAGAAGATTTATTTGAATTTGAAAGAGGCAAAGTTTCAATGTGTGTATTATATGGCATAGTATAGAGGCTGAGTCGTTTGAAATGAGGAATATGGCAACAGTAGGTAGGAAGAGTGAGATGAGTTGAATAAAATGTTTCGGCAATACTAACATTATATGAATTTTGCTTCAAACAATACAATATGGCACCTTAATATTGTTTTCTTCCGGCAATGCCCAATAAATTGTTTCTGTAACTACCGAGTGCATCTGAATATATATCATATACAGAAAATAAAAGCAGCTAAATCTATAAATACATGAAAAGAAGGTCAATCTAATAGTGACGTAAGTCAGTAAGGTATTTATGGTCCATATTTATTGTATCCAGTGAAGATGCTAAGAATCATTGATGCCTTTAGCCATAAAATGCAATAATTGGATGATCTATAATTCTTGCCTTAAGCTATAACGATATAAAATAGAATGCATGCATATGTGAGTGCCATTTAATATACAAATTTTTTATTCGACTTTTCCAATAAATTTTTCTTAACCTCACTTGGGGCTATCAAATTCGGTGACTAAGGCCACACATTATGAATCAAATTTTTTTTCCATTCTTTATTTTTACCGATTTTGATTTATTTTTTGTCTGAATTTTCACTTTCATTCGAAGAAATTGATTGAGAACAAGACCTTTCCTAATGTTTTCGTTTTTCCTGTTTTCATTCTCAAATCAAATGATAATAAAACTGATGGGTTAAAAAGTAGAATGAAAAATGAGTAAAAGTGTTTGGCAAAAAGAAGAAAAATATTCTTACTTTATATTAGGAAGTGTAAACTTCAAGGATCGTTTGAAAATGACATCTAGCATGTTGAATAAGAGAGTTAAGGCAGTAATGAAGCACTTCAAATGAAAAACTTCGTTTGAAATTTTTGAGGATTACATTTTTTTGTTGACGTTTTTTGCGAAATGTCCCAAATCAAACAAACATATAAAATAAGCTTTTAGCTTTTCAGCACTCTACTAATTTATTGCTAACATTTGAAAAGCATCTGTAAGATTTTTTTTTATGTTTTGCACTAAAATGTATTTAGATCAAGCTAGAAATAGTTTTTTATAATAGAATTTGACCATTTGGATAGAGCGAACTTTTAGGAGAAATATTGTACAATCACCACAATTGAAAATTGCGCAAAAATATGCCAACTGAAAATTTCGTTATCATAAACTGACAGAAAAATTTATGCTTTCATTCTAAAGCGGAGTCATAAATCTTCTCTCAACTAAATAAGCGCCAAAAAATGTAGAAAAGACTATGTTTTCGAATATTGGAGCAGGCAGACGATGATGTTGGGATGTTGAGTATGATAGCAGCACGCGAGTGTGAGAAAGATAAAGAGTGAAAAAAGCTACGGCAAATAAAATTAATTGAAACAGATTTTTGTCTTCTCTTGTACTCATTCACTTCGTCTCTTTCTCTCTCATTACTTCTCTATCTTTTTCACAATCTCTCATTTATTGTTTCTGTATTGTACAATTTCTTTTTATCAAGACTTTTTTTATTTCAATTCCATTAATTTCTTTCAGTAAGCAGATGAATCTGATTTTTTTTTCAGCAAGATAACATACAATTTTACACAATGGTAGTTGCTGGCTTATGTTCTGAAAATTTTAATTACAAAATGTGAACCAGAAAAATTCAAATGATAAATTAATTTTCTGAAAATCATATTTTAGTAAACAGAAGCAGTAGAAAGGGACTAATCTGAAAATTTGATTTATT